TTATTATTTATTTACCACAAGTAAAGGTCAGGAATTGTTATCTTTCTTTTAAATTTTTTTTACTGTTTCACTTCATTACTGCTGTGTATGTGCTCCATGTGAGTGACGTAGGTGCTTATGTAGGTGGGTTCCGACTTACGGCGAAAATCATGTTATGTCGCGCCATAGGAACGGATCTCCAACGTAACCCGAGGACCTACTGTACTTTCAAAAGTTCATTTGTAAGTAGATCAATACTTGGAACTTGAAGGGTATTTCCTCATTGACAATTATTAGGCTTACAGATAGATTTAATCCATAATGGAACTTTCAAAATCAGTAAACACCATGTACACTAGCTTGGGACAAGGCCCTCTGCCAGGTGCTTTCATAGGTATTAGGTCAATTACTTCTTATACAACCCTGAATGGAAAGTATATTCGTTCCATTTGACAGATGAAAGAAATGGAGTGTGATGTGTCTTGGCTAAAGTCACACAACTATGATATTAAAGGGCCACATTTAAACCTAAGTCTTCTGACTCGAATTTCTACAACATTTCAGTGGTATTATTTTATTGATTTTATGAGCAATTTAACCACTAAGTAGAACTAACATTCTTTGGGAAAAGACAGCCATAATTCTAGCTTCAGCCAATGCTGATAAAGGGTTTTGCTGCAGGGGTGGGTGGTATGGAGAGATGGCAATGGGAACTCATAGTCTGAGCAAGGTAGGAGGCCTGGGGAAGCTGAGGTCTCCTGCCGGCTCCACCCCAGGGAATGCTCTCAATATTAAGTCAGGTCCTACTCTCTTCCTTTCTTTTATATCTTGTGAATCCTGGTTGGGTTAATTCTGTTACAACAACCTATTGGCTCTGGACCAAATTTTCTGTCTTCTTTGTTCCATTACTAAACAAATTGCACTTTTGTTGCTTTCCCGATTTTTATGTCTCCCTCTGTGATTGCCTTAGAATTTTAGTGTAAGTAGCAATGGGAAATCAAAAAGAGTAATAAAATACCATGTTGCCAATTTTGTCATTTTTGACATTAGCACATAAGAGGAAGTCGGAGTCTTTAAGTATAGAAGAAACTGAATTTTATTTACATTCTGGAGAATTATGCGGATACGGGCAATTCTGTGCATTCCACACAGAATCTATGAGAGAGGGAAACAAAGCAAGACAGGCTGGGGCCATTGCCCAGGAGACCAATTTGAGTAGCAGTGGTAACTCCCACCTCCAGCCCAACCACCAGTTCTGCCACTAACACCAAGAACTCAGGCCAGATGTGTGGAAAGTGGAGATGAATTAAAAAGTGAAAGACAGCAAGTCAGGAAAGTTCTAAACGGAAGAGGGAGAAAGGGGAGAAGAGAAGTTCCTGTGGTCACTGACTCACTTGGATGGTGGGAGAATCAAATCAGAGCCTGTGTTCAAAAAAAATACCCAGGCTCCTAGACCAAAGATTGTGTTTTGTGATCCTCATCTCTTATCAAGGCACACTTATAATGGAAGACAAGAAATTATTAGAGGAAGTAGCAAGGCTTTAAGATTATACACCAGTATTGTTAATACTTGTTGAATACAAACCCAATTCTATTTCTTAACTTTCATTCTTACTTTCACAGCTAATAGATTTTTAAAAAATATACTTTTATTGATTTCAGAGAGGAAGGGAAAGGGAGAGAGAGATAGAAACATCAATGATGGGAGAGAATCGTTGATCGGCTGCCTCCTACATGCCCCCCACTGGGGATCGAGCCCACAACCCAGGCATGTGCCCTTGACCAGAATCAAACCCACGACCCTTCAGTCTGTACGCTGATGCTCTATCCACTGAGCCAAGCTGGCTAGGGCACTAATAGATTTTTTTAAAGTACACAAGAAAGTAACATTATTGAAACCTTTAAGCTTTAAAGAAAGCCTTTCATTTATTATCTAAAAGACATACATGACAAGTCTTCTATAAAATAAAAGACAACTAGCAGAATAGGAATAACGTTTTATAGCATCATTTTCTCTTCTGAACAGGTAAAGCCAACACTGCTTAGGTTATTTTGAGATAATAAATGCCATCTCATCTTTCTCGGTATGCATCAACCTATCTAATTAACCAGCAGCACTAGTAATTCCGATGGTTGTATTCTTCCTGTGAGAAGGTAATTGTGTATTGCCATCCCAGATGTCTCTAAGACTATAGTTTGTTTGCTTGTTTTGTTAATCCTCACCCTAGGACATTTTTCCCATTGATTTTTAGAGAGAGTGGGAGGAAGGGGGGAGGGGGGACGGAAAGAGAGAGACATCGATGTGAGAGAGACACATTGATTAGTTGCCTCCCGCAGGCTCCAAGTTCCAGGCCGGGGATCAAACCTGCAACCCAGGTATGAGTGGGGGGGGACGGAAAGGGAGAGACATCAATGTGAGAGAGACACATTGACTAGTTGCCTCCCGCAGGCTCCAAGTTCCAGGCCGGGGATCAAACCTGCAACCCAGGTACGAGCCCTGGACAGGAAATCAAACCCACAACCCTATGGTCCGCAGGCCGACGCTCTAACTACTGAGCCAAATGGGCCAGGACTTTAAGACTATAGTTTTATATTTCAGAGTTAATGATTAATGAGAAGCCAGCATGAGAAATGTGATTTGCATTGCTCCAAAGTGCTTGCCTAATTGAGGTGCTGTTAACAATATCCAGTGAGATTATTTCCTGGCACCAATATTTTCCTGAAGTGCCTATCAGACCTATATCTTGCGTTGGAATCACAAAGCTGCTTGGCCACTACGTTATCCCATAGTGGAAAAGAGCGGGGAATGCATTTACTTTTCGCATCATTCCAGTCTGGAGAGTCAGGGGGCAATTTCCGCAGGTAGTCCTTCAGGAGCATCTCGTACCGAGGAATCCGCTGAACGGGCTCCAGCATGTGGTGCTGCAAGGTCAAGTTCCCACAGACCTTCTGTTTCTGTAATTAGAAAGGTTTGTAAAGAAAGATTTAAAAATTAGGTTAGCTAGTTGAAAAATGTAATACAGAGCTTTCATCAAGGGCAGTATCTCCCTACAAAGTACAGTCTATGTATCATCTGCATTAGATATAACTGCGGTACTATTAAAAATAGGAATTTTAAACCCCATCCGAATCTATGAAACTATGATTTTGAGGTTAGGGCCTGGGCATGTGCATTGGAATCCCTGATTCTTCCATTGCAGTTTGAGGACCACCAACCAAGGGTAAGAACAGAAAGGAAAATCAAGCAGCATTTTAAGCAAGAAAATTCCAGATTGCTGGCAACCACTTCAATTAGTCATTACAAGTCTGTGTGAGGTCATATTATTAAATCATACTGTAGAGATTTTCAAAAGAAGCATCTACTATTTAATGAGCTTCACTAAGAAAAATTTTATTAAATGATTTTGGACTCAGCAGAAACTATTTTATAATAAGGCCACCACAAACATCATTTCCTTTGAACTTAAAAAGACTACAGAGAATGACAAGATCTGATCATTTCATTATCTGTCAGAATTTTTCCATTTTTCATTAGGTCATGGCATTCTTTTCCATTAGAAACCAAACTCCTTAAATAGATTTTTTTTTTCTGCGTGAAATCGAGTCTATAGCATTTGTTTTCAATAAGCTGTTGACATAAGAAAGGGAAAAGATTCCTTAAAAAGTAAGATGTGTTCTTGTTCATATTAAACAAAGCATGAATCTTTTTAACATATTTATTCAACTCATAGCATGATTAAGGCAAGGTTATACAAGTCATATTAAGACACGGTTAGCAATTAAAGCAAACAAGAAACCAAAGGCTTCACAGAGAAAGGAACATTTAACCTGAACTTGGATGAGGGCAGGCTTTGGGTGGGAAGGCACTCGAGGAAGACCAGGAGGCAAATGAAGATAGAGGGACCTTGGAGAACAAGCCCAAGGCAGTGGGGCATGAAACATGGTCAATAAAAGGGAATAATGGAGTTTTGTTAGCAAATAATATATTTGTATGGAAACAGGATGAAGAAGAAATAGTAATCTGGTGTAATAATGTCCAACTGAGTGTAGTATTGTTTCAGGTTTTCATGCAGGGGAGTGATATCGTTAGAGGTCTACTAAGATCAGCCTACTGCAATATGGCTTTAGGAAGATGTGGGGAAGCTAGTTTGGAAGTCATTTTAGACCAGGAAATGTAAAAAGAGTATTGTAGACCAGGAAATGTAAAAAGAGCCTGAAATTAGCGTGGAAGCTGAGGGGTAATGGCTTTGCTTAATAAATATTAATGGGCCCTAACTGGTTTGGCTTGGTGGATTGAGCGTCAGCCTGCAGACTGAAGGGTCTCAGGTTCGATTCCAGTCAAGGGCATGTACCTTGGTTGCGGGCACAACCCCCGGGTGGGGAGTGTGCAGGAGGCAGCTGATCGATGTATCTCTCTCATTGATGTTTCTAACTCACTATCCCTCTCCCTTCCTCTCTGTAAAAAATCAATAAAATATATATTTTTAAAAATAATAAAAATAAATAAATAAATATTGTTATAAGTTTAGTGATCTCTTTTGACTTTCTCTAACAAACATATTACACACACACACACACATCAGAGAAAATATTACTGATCCCAAAATTTGTACATAAAGAAACTGTGGCTTAGGAGAGTTAGGACAGCTTTCTGAGGTAAAATGATTGTAAGTGGCAGGCGAGGATTCTAAATTAGGTTAGCTGATTCTCAACCCATTGCGCCTTTCACAGTCTCATCATTTCCTCATAATATGGAGATGACAGACATTGTAGAGACAGATTTCTGATTTGGTAAAATAATGACCACCATCACCAGCATCGTGCAGTGAGCACTTATTATGCAACAAGCTCCATGGTAAGCACCTTAGATACAGTATCGCCAGGCAAACAGAGAGAAGAGGAAACACAAAAGAGAGCAGTCAAGGAGCACAGAATTCCCAACCCCAGAAACGTATGTGATCTAAAGAATTTTTAAAAAATATTTAAACTCTGACACAGAATAGTTATTAACAACTTCGACTAGAGAATCAAATAGAAATTACTATGGTATTATTAAAATGTATTATTCAGGTGTCACAAAAAATTAAAAAAAAATTTTTTAATCATATAAAGTCACAAAAAAATCCAGAATAATTATATTTCTAAAATATCAGAATTTATAACAATCATTCTTTTTAAACAATGTTCTTATTGATTTTAAAGAGAGGGAGGGAGACAGAAATATCAATGAGAGAAAAACTATAACCATCATCTATATATTGTTGGGGGTAACCAGGCCTGCAGGGGAGGGCCATTGGGGGCAACCAGGCCAGCAGGGGAGGGCAATTGGGGCATTAGGCAGGGAGACAGGTGAGTGGTTAGGAGCCAGTGGTCCTGGATTGTAAGAGGGATGTCCGACTGGATCGGGCCTAAACCGGCAGTCGGACATCCCCCAAGGGGTCCTGGATTGGAGAGGGTGCAGGCTGGGCTGAGGGGACCCCCCCCCTCCTGTGCACAAATTTTGTGCACCAGGCCTCTAGTTCTTTATATTCACTTCTATTCATTTCAACATTTCAACCTCTGAAAGAAAGCAAGAGAGGCACAGAACTAAATGGGAATTCACTTTGTAATTTACATGGATCCTAATAAAAGCACTCTCTTGCTCTCAAAAGCAAATGGAGAATTTACTGCTCAACACATGGCCTATGCTCAATATTTTAATTTTGCAGAGATGGTTTTTACATAATTCAGAGTTGAAGGAATTTGGCTAGGTATCTCAAACAGATATCACAATCTAAATTTTATATCTAGAAACTTTATGATTTGGACAGAACAACTGCTGCATAGCCTTAAACAAAAGAGTCATATTACCTGAATTTCTTCAACTACTGATTTGAACTGGGGAATACGCTCTGTCATGTTTTTAACCAATTCCATTGCGTTATCAAATCCTTTCACATATTCTCCATACATCTTAAGGAATGGTGCCAATTTCTGGAGGATGTCACCAATTCTAGGAGTAGTTTCCCTGTATAAAATATAGAAACAAGTCATTAAGATTTTTTATAGAATGAGTGAATTAACAGGACTTCAAAAGAAGTTATCACCTTTCTACACACACCCTATACTTAATCGGATTCACTCTGCTATGAGATTGGTAGAGAATGAAGGAAGGTAGAGAATTAAACAAAGTTTAGGAATGAAGTAGTAAAAAGCGATACTAAGAAAATCTTCAAACTCCATATAACTCATAACATTGTATCTTCACTAGTAAAAACAGTTTGAAGAGATGAAACCCTTTTAAAGTTGAAAACGTACACCTTCTATTATTGGTCTATAGCATAAAAATTTAGCCCAAATATTTGGCTACAGCTCTGTGTAACATAAATATTTCAATTTAAAAGCTGAATAACACAGCATCTAGTATGACTGCCTTAGACATATCATTTGCTATCTACTCCTTACCATTCTTGCATTCGTTTCTCCAGTTCTGGCAATAGGAATTTACTATGGAAGGCATTTATTGATGAAATATTAGAAAAGATTTTATTCACCATCTCTGCTGGAAATGAGCCTCGATTGGCCTCTTCCAATAGTCTGCAATAAAATACCTGAATAAGAGAATAGAGCAAACATTACTTCAAATTTATTGGTTTACCACCTGGCACTGTGCTATGCACATAGTAGGTTCTTTAACAACTTTTTGTTGAATAAATGGAAAAGTTCATGGTTCAAGAAATCAATCATTTTTGAACTACAGGACTGAGGATGTACTTTGGTTAAGAAGAACCAGGAATTAGAATTAGGAAACTTTGCCTCTTTTTGTGGGATGTTAACCATTTTTGTGCCAGAGAATTTCCAACTGAGGTTAACAGAATTTACCCTTCGAATCCATAAGTAGAATTAAGAGATTAAAAAAAAAACAAACTTTACATACACCTCATAATTGTGGCATTTTCCACTCCTGTTTATGTTTTGAATGATTTTTATGTCCTTTACTATATATTGCCTTTACTGGTATTGTCATTTGTTGGCATACGTCTCTTTTTTTCTATTAAAACTACACAACTTGGGGAGGGAAGACATCATAATTTAGTTTCTATAGAAGAAAAGTACTTAAAAAATAACTGGTCAGTGGATGAAAAAAGAATATTTCAGTTCTCTAATGTTTTCCTACTTTTTAGTAAAAAGTGTCACAAAACTTCAAACACTGGTATTAGGACAAAAAAAATCTTCTCCTGCATATGGATAATAATAGGTATCATAAAGACAAAAAAAAAAAAATCTGCAATCTTAGCTATACTCCACTAGGGCTACTATACCTCTTGCCATTCTGTTAAATGTAGGCAGAAGGAGGTCTGGTCTTTCATAATGTCCAGATGGTTGTTAATTTTCTAAATTCCCCTCCACTGCATTTTCTTAAGGCAAAAAGAACACAAAATTATGTCCCTAGAGACTCCAATAGATAGGATATTGTAGTAATTAAGAGTCTAAACTTCTCTATCGTCAGCAACAATAGCTGAACAAGCTAATGTGGCTGGGGAAAAAAGATGGAGGACACATCCGATTTTTAAAAAAGACATATCTCCCTTATGGGAATAACTAAAAGTTTCAGGTCTGTGATCCCCGTGAAGAAAAAAGTTGTTTCAAAGATACAAACTCAAAATAACTTGATTGACATGGAGAAATTCTTTGGAAAGTTGCAAACTCATTATTTCAAAGAACACAGTGTTAACTCGGCCCCTGGGGGCTCACTGTAACAGGAACTCTAGGAACTGATGAGAGGGAGCATGCACAGGACAACCTGCTCCCATGAAGTTCCAGTTTTCCAATGGCAGAAGAGGACAATTCTTCTTACAGCTAATGCTCAAGCGTGGCAACTCTCTCTTCTAATAAGAGGAGTCTGTATTAGCAGACAATCTACCAATTATCTTGTTCTTTTATCACTGAAGCAGGATTAAGAGACCTTAGTTTTCAATAGTTACTCTTACAATACATTTTAAAGTGTTTTCACAGAATTAGAACAAATATTTACATGGAACCACAAAAGACCCCAAATAACCACAGCAATCTTGAGAAAGTAGAACAAAGTTGGAGGAATCACAATACGGGATATCAGACTATAATACAAGGCCATAGTAATCAAAACAGCAAGGTAGAGACTTATAGACCAATGGACCAGAATAGAGAGCCCAGAAATAAACCCACATCTTTCTAGTCAATTAATATTCGACAAAAGAGGCAAGAACATGCCATGGGGTAAAGATAGTCTATTCAAAAATATTGAAAACTGGACAGACACATGCAAAAAAAAAAAAAAATGAAACTAGACCACCTCTCACACCACACACAAGAATAAACTCAAAATAGATTAAAGACTTGGATGTTAGACTTGAAACCATAAAATCCTAGAAGAAAATATAGACAATAAAATCTCGGACATTTCTCTTAGCAATATTTTTTCTGATATATCTCCTTGGGCAGGGAAACAGAAAAAATAAACAAATGGGACTACATCAAGCTAAAAAGTTTTTGCACAGGAAAAGAAACCATCAGCAAAATAAAAAACAAACCACTGAATGGGAGAGCATATTACCAATAGTAACATCCAATAAGGCAGCAGTTCTCAATCTGTGGGTCGCGACCCCTTTAGGGGTCGAATGACCCTTTCACAGGGGTCGCCTAAGACCAT